GGTAGCTTCTCAGTAGCGCTGTGGGGCGTGCGGGTCGCCCCTGCTGCCGACAGAGCCGTGCGGCGGGGTCCCGTAAGAAGGGCAAAATAGCGTAAAGCCGTGAAGTGAAAGATTGATGTTTGCAGAGGGAAGATTTCACTTTTAAGTTTTTTTGAGTGTAAGGGCTGATGCTGTACGTCTTATGTAGGCTGCCAGGCTCGTTGGGCGGTTTGGAGCCCGTTCAGCCCTTTCTGGTGCTGCCTGGCAGTGCTGCAGGCCGTGTGTGTGCTGTGACCGTGCTTTGCTGGGTCTGCCACGCTGGGTGCCTGCTCCTGGAGTGCCTGCGGCTCCAGACTCTGTTGTCACGATAAGCAGAGTTGCGATGACATATCCCAGTATGCGAGTACCTTTTAGTGGCTGCAGGCCCGCAACATACCCGTTCACGCCAGAATGTCTGAGGTAATTACAGTGCTGCATGACACAACGTGGGAGCAGATGGACAGTCTGCATCTCGGGTTTTGCACGCTGCCACTGGTTGAACCTTCCTGGTCCGAGTGCTGGGCTCGTACAAAGACTTTCAGTTCCAGCCTTGCGTGCGTACCTTAATGTTTGTCTTTTGCCCCTTACGTAAAAAGGCACAGAATGAGAGCATAATCTTGACAAATCATACTTTAAGCTTCTATTTAAAGCAACTAAAATGTCAGTTATCTAACAAATATGTTTTCTGTCAAGGTCTGATAAGAGTTTTGCAGTGTGACTTTGTGTAACTGATGAATAAGACTTCTAGACCGTGACAACACAGGTATGTTTCTTTCCAGTAGCAGCTTATTCACAAGTCAGTGTTCGTTCAAGCTGTGATAGTATTTCAGCCTGAGTTTTTCCTGGTTTTCATACAGTTGCCTGACAAAAATTAAAACCGTAGATTAGAAGAAACAAAGTAAACATTGCTGCTTAGTTTGTGTATAGCTCTGCCTGATTTGCAGCTTGGTGACATTTGTCTAGCCTTGTGAAGTTCTGTATCTGCTGTTCACGGGCTAGATAGGAAGACTGGACGGTTAAGTGTTTTGACACTGAAGTGCAGACATGTTTCAGGTTTTATGCTGGGGGGGAGCAAAAATGTTGTGACTGCTTAATAGGCAACACTCTTCCTGAGCAAAGGGGCTTCGAACCAGACCTGGACCATCCATTGTTCTAACACTGTGTGTCCTCTATTAGTATTTACGAGGGACAATGCCTATGCATCGCTGTATTGTAGACACGGGAATGTAGTGTTAGAAGACCATTGAATGATTGTGTCCAAAGCTTCAAAACTGTAGGAGGCTATGTGATAGGTGTCTAATTGCTAGAACGCTTGCTGCCATAGTCTATGAGTAATTGCCCAATGAGTTATTTTAAACTAAATGTGTAACAAAAGCTACAAAGTCACATCTATAATATCACAGGGAGAAAAACAATAGATTAAACTGCAGACAAAATATACTCATATTTTTAAACAAAATGCACTTTTTAAAGAGTATGTTGAAATTTACCTGTCTACTATCAACACTGAATCAATTTACTTCCATTTTCTGTAGCAAATTTTGACTGCCCAGATTCTGAGATGCACAAAAATCATTAAATTATGGATTAATAAATGAATTGCTAATCTGTAAAATTACTTAAATTACTAAAAAGCAATACTTGTATTCTGGCATGAGGTTTTCTAATTTTCTGGTGTCCCCTTCACAGCTAAAATTATTAATTAGTCTTTGGAATGTTTCTGAATTCTGTCTTGTGTTAAGCTACATTGTATTATCTTTATAATACCGACATATATGAGGTCCCATAGAGATAACCATGATGTTTGGGTTACTCTTGCAATGAGGTTTTATTCCAAATGGACACTGTAATGGGATGATGGAGAAATGGAACAATATGATTGTTTCTTTGAGTGTTTTTTAACTATATCTTCCTTGTCAGTCATGGTTTTTTCGCAAGGTTGTGGTATATGTATAAGGCTTTTCCCTGGTAAACAGTTCTCTGTCATTGAAAGAAGAATGGCAGTTCTTGTTTTGTCATGATGTGAACCTCTCCCCAGCTATCAGAAACTTGCTATGTAAATTATGAATAGGATGGAGAAAGCTTTCTCCTTAAAGAAATTGCAGCAATGGGTCTCAAATTGATTTGTCTTCTAAGGGACTTCAGAAGTTCTATATTATGTGATCAGAGAGCAAAAAATAGCTTTATCTTGCAGGATGGAACCGACCTTGGATAATGAGAGATTTTTCAGACCGTCCTATGTTGCTAGTTTTGAACCACCTCAAAGAACAGGACCAGTAAATGTGGAAGATATTAAAGCAGATCTCTCTACTGAGTTTTCTTCTATTTCTTCAAACTCGGACACAAGCTGGGTAAGAAAGCTTTAATGTTTTGCATGTTTTGTGTTTTGTTGTTTTTTTTTTAAATAAGCTTAGTCCTTTCATTAATAAGATGAAAAACATCTTTAGCATGTTTTTAATTTGCAGGATATACATAGGATTGGACTAAGTTGTGTGGCACTGTATTGGTACCTTATTGGGTGCATCAGTGTTCTGTGAATGAGGCTAATTGCTGGTTCAGAGCGGCTTAATCATAGTGTTTTTGTGAGGTTTCATGCTTGATCTCTGGTTGGCCTGAATGTTGCATGTATATATGTGCTGCAAGATTATTAACTCTAAGTTATCACAGTGAACTTCTGCAGGGGCCTAAGCGCTTGTAAAAACCGATGTAATAAATTACTTTTGCTTCCCATGTCATCAAATAAACCTGTTCAATATAGCCTCGTGAAAATAAAACTGCCTTAACGTGCTAGGTAACAAACAAAGAATCTAGTCAAATTTCTAATTTCTTTTTTTTCCTCTTTTAATTTAAGAGGAGCAGTTTGGAGCCTAAGGGACACATACAAGTTTGCCTGCGTATTAGGCCATTTACATCGGTGGAAAGAGAAAATGAATTGCAGGTGTGACATTTATTTAGTTTAAAAATACTTCAAATGTGTGAGGGTTTTTTTTCCTGTAAGCTGAGGTCTTTATACCCTTTTCATGTCTGCATTGCTTCTGTTTCCTTTTAATAGGAGTGCGTTTCACTTGAAGACTCAACAAGCGTTGTACTGAAGCACCCCAAAAACTCTTGGAGTCGCCTAAGCGAAAAGGCTGCTGGACAGATGATGCAAAAGTTCACTTTTTCTCGAGTAAATGAGTTGTCTTTAAATATTTTTAATTTATTCCTGGAAAAAGTTGTTTAACTTATTTAATACCAAGCAAACTAGATTTTAAACTATCAATAGCCTTTAATATTATATAGAGTCTGAAAGGTTCTTTAAAAGTCTCTAATGATTGCTTAAACAAAATAAAGATGTTTCTTGGTAATGCTTAGGTGTTTGGACCTGAAACAACTCAAGAAGAATTCTTTGAAGGTACCATGAAGCAACCAGTGCAAGATTTCTTAGATGGATACAATCGTCTTATTTTTACATACGGTGTTACAAATGCTGGGAAAACCTACACGTTCCAAGGTATGAGCTGAAATGTGTTCTCTATGAATGAACTTCCTTTTTTTTAAAGTGAGCATTAGTTCTAGCAGAAATATAACTTTTTTTCTTTATTTTAACTGTAGGGCCTGTACATTGGCTTCTCTTGAATATTAATAAATAGCTTTTGAAAGTCTCTGTCTATAACAAATATCACTAAACTGCCAACAGGCAGAGCTACTGCCAGAGTTTACATAAACATATGGTGATATTGCTTTGTAAGGCTGTAATAATTTCAACCAGGTGTGTGTGACACTTCTTTCTTCCTCCAAGTATCTAAAATGTCAGGGAGGAGGGGAAGTTAGGAAAAGACATCTTCTATATAACAGGATGTGAAAAGTGTGCAAGTCACTCTACACCAGACTAGTATTTTGTTAATTTTTATTATTTTTATAAGGTCATATGTGTCTTATGTTTGCTGTCTTCAAACAAGGAACAGTATTTGAGTCTGTTTCAATTATTATAGGCAGAGAATAAACATTTTGAAATACATTTGTTTACTTCCAAGTTTTTCTGTCTTGTCTCAAGTTTGAGCATATCAATAATATCCTAGGATATCCTTGTCTCCTGATGCGCTGTTTCTGTACTGTTAAAGCTCAATATCATTTCTGGTCAGATGTCATTCTTTAGTGAGTTTTCAAAGCGTTTTAACAAATGAGGTGATTTGATTCACGTGGAAACAACTTTTATAATGAAATGGCAGTTCTAGATTCTATACTACTTACTTTATACACAGAAGTAGCGGAAGGACAATGAGTTTTGTGCCATATGAAAATGATCTTTATTGAAGTGACACTGTCTGCTAAGTGATCTTCTGTTAGGTGGATTATAACTAAAGACTACTGCCAGTACTTTCAGTTATCATTAACCTGGGGCAATAACAGGATGCTCTTTCCTGTCCTAATAAATAGTAGATAAATAACAAAAAGCAAAATTCCTAAAGTGTACAGCAGTCCACCATGCTTGACTAGTTTGGGGTATATTGTGTGGTGTGGGTTTTTGGTTGTTTTTTTTTTTTTTTTTCTTGGTGGTGTTTTTTTTTTTGGTTTTTTTTTGAGAATTCTTGATTCATGTCTTTTCAGACTCCGGAGACTTTTCATGGTATTATATTTTTAGGACTCAACTATCAACTTGTGATAAGAACTGGCAGAGCGGAATGTTGCCTACTGGGTGCCATGATTTCCTTTTCTGTTATTCCCAGTATTGTCAATACAGCCTTTCTAATTTGGCATTACTTGGGAGCCTGTATTCAGTAAAAGACAAAGGACTTAAAGATGAAGCAGTGTTTTAGGACTGTTCATTGTTTGCCAGTGACTGTTACTTTGTTTGTGTTAAGTTGAATTACAAGTGGCACTACAATAAATAAAAAATGATTAGAGAGGAGATGAGGAGAAACAAATGTAGTCCAACAGTACTGTAACTTAATATGTTATTTGGTTACTAGTTTGGTGGTTGAGACCCAACCAGATTTTACGTAGGTTTGGACTTGGGCAACACAGCTAGTGGTCTAACTGGTAAAAGCCTGTCTGTCTCGGGAGTTGGAGAAATTATCAGAGACTGGAAGATGATGCTGTTGGAGCCTGAGACAGAACAGTAGTTTCTCCCTTCTCTATGGTTTAGGAATCAAAATTAAGTGAACCCTTTGTAAATTTGCACCTGGATTCAGAAAGATCAAGTGTGCACTGAGGCTTTTATTTGACTCTGGGACAGGGAAAGGAGTAAGTCTTCTCAAGTATTCTAGGGCTTTTTTTGTAGGGTCTGTGGAATTAATACAGGACTGCAGCTGAGAGATCAGTTGTCAGTTGTATTTCAAGATTGCTTCCTTGAGAGAGCAAAGGCAGCCTATGAAGCGTGATTGAAAAAACTGCAAATCTCTGTTAAATATCTGTAGGTTGTGGTTTGTTTGAGACTCCTGTCCTGCTCCCACCCTTAAGGATAAGTTTATGCAGAATACCCCAGCAGTTTTTGTTTTATGTTATGCCCCTTACTGTCTAAGGGGTAGAGCATGTTTCAGCTGTTGCTGAAAGCCAAATACCTTTCAAGGTAACAGAAATGTCATTAGAGCATTTTGAGAAAACAAAAAAGCCATTGTTTCTTTTAATATATATAAATATATATATTTATATATAGCGATGCTATAAATGGCCTACAAATTCCTCATGTATGACAGGAGATTAAATTGTGTATCTTCATATAAATGTATACCTTGTTCACAGTAATAATTAAGATCTTTCTTTTGCATGTTGCTTTCAGGGACAGAAGATGACCTTGGTATTCTGCCAAGGACTATGGATATGTTGTTTAAAAGTCTTCAAGGAAAGCTATACGCAGCAATGGATCTCAAACCCCATCGGTGCAGAGATTACATAAAGCTGACTAAAGATCAAGTGAGAGAAGAAACTGCTATTAAAAATTCCATACTTCGTCTAACAAAAGAGGTAGAGGAGCACTTTCTATACTGATGAGTACATGCATCTTTAGATAGCTCCATGTTAACTTGTTGATTTTTCAATGGGAAGAAACTGTCTATATTTAATCATGGATGTGTCTTTTTGCTGTTAGCAGTAAAGTGAGCAATAGAGCTGATGAGCCCTGTTCTGTGGATTTCTGTCTTGTGGCTGAATACTTGATAGGATGTAAACTCTAAGTTTTTTATTCTACAGCTTGGGCACCTGATAGTTTATCCTCTGAGGTTACTGGTGCTTAATAAGGACTGAATGCAAATAGTCTCCCCTTCTGTGGGGATGCTAGTAGGTCTGCTCCTATAAACAATTTACTGTCTTTCAGGATACTTGGAATAAATTGATGATTTTGAGATTGTTCCCCACTTCCTAGTTTGGCAAATATCCTCAAAGGAAGCAAAAAATCTTTGTAAACAGCAGAGCTATAAAGCCAGTGGACTTCTAAAGATTTGAATTAAAATGTTTTTCTGCTGGACTTTATTCTTAAACAGATCACTGTTGTGCAGTTCAGAAATACACTTCAGTTTTATGAGTTGCCTGGAATTCTAAAGCTGTTTACAGTTATGGGGGATTTGTGTTTCGTATAAGCATACCTTTTTCTTGGTGATTTTAATTCTGAAATGAATGAAATAGTATATGCTCTTTTTTATACTAGGAATTGGAACCAGAAAGGGATTATTGTGCTTTTTTTATTCTTAATGAAAAGAATTAAGCATCTCCCTAGTGGTATGCTAGGTTATAATTGGGTGTTCTGGCTGCTGTGGGATGGAATGTATCTGTTACCTTAATTTTTATTCATGAATTGGTTGACTGGACTTCTCCAGTGTGGAAGGCAGGTGGCAGCAAAAGTCTTCAATACTTCAAAAGCACAGGTATATGTTAAATCTAGCTCTAGCAGTCTTTAAGGACTTCACAAAAGCCTGTCACACGTGTGTTTTGAATACACGTATATGTCCCCTCTAATTTCTAGAATTGTGGTTATGAAAACGATACTTCAGATTATAAATTTGGTGGCAAAGGTTGCATCTACTTCAACAGAGGCAGGTATGGGTGGGTGTTTTATATGTGTAAAGCTTAAACCTAAAGGTTTTGATTACATAAATATTTAACTATATCAGGGATCATTTTATGGAATCCTAGCTTTATATGAAATACACTCTTGACAAAACATTAAAAAACCCCAACCAAAACCTCACCTGTTTTTTAATCCATGTTTCTTCTCTTAAGCATATTGGTTTTAGTAGAGGAGTTGCACTTCTTTGCAGTTCTGTACCTAAAAAAACCTCAACCAAACAAAACTGAGATTGGGAACAGAGTGTACATACATGAACCTCATAAAACAAACCCCTACAGCTAGAGTTTACTTTTTTTTTTTAATTTTAAGAGCTCAACAGAAGAAAATTTTCCTTCTCTTTCAAAGATCTAGACTTTATTTCAACTGTGAAAGGTTTCTACAGCCTGTATCATGAAGCAGGAAGTTGCTCACTTAATTTTTTTAAGTGAACCAGTGTTCTATGCTTACCTTCGTTTCTGAGGGTTGACCTAGTAAGCTGTAACGTACGGAATCCTGAACTAGCAAAATACCAATAATAAATTTCAAGACTCTCTAGATTCACCAGGTTGGGTAATGTGTAAACTGCAGTTGGATTGCTGAAAATCATCCTGTTAAATCGGCCTGTTTCTCTGTGGGCTCCCACCCCCCTGTTTTTCCATAGCTAGTTTTCTTCTTGTTCAGCAAGCTGAAATGCCATATACTGTGATAGGGCCCGGTGTAAGGGAAGCATCAGGAAAGAGTATTAAGGTAAGAACAAGCCTTTCAATAGGAGTGTACAGGTGCATTGACATAGGCATGATATGTAGGCAGGATCTTTGTAATGGCATATTGCAACTACGCTGTATTCCTGTCCGGTACGACAATACAGCTGTTAAAGTAACTGGTGGTGCACTGGTGATGTCCTGTCAACAATATACCTTAAAGTATCTGTTCTCTTTTGTAGGTAGACCACCAAAATAGCACCAACAACAAAGCACCAGTTGATTCTAAGGGTATGTTTTATATTACAGAATTGCAATAGAGCTGGCAAAGAAGCTTTCTTAAGGTCAATAACTGACTTCTGGCCTATGTTAATAATAAAATGACTAGTTTGAATTTTTATATACCTGTGAATTGGATAGTGAGCAAGTTAGCTGGGCAGAAAACACAAAGGTAAAATGGTTAGAAAAATACCTGAACAGGAATTAAATGAGATAAAACCATAGCAAGGAAAAGTAGTACTACTTATGCTAGGTCTATACTGGTATCCTGACAGGCTTTTAGAGTACCTGTAAGTAATTAGATAAACCTAATTCTAGCATTTAAAAACTACCTAAATACTACATTTGCTTTAAAAAGTCAGAATGAAGTGTATTTGTCAGTTTAATTCTGTCTTATAAAGATATTGGAGAGACTTTAATAATTCTGATGAACCTGTATGTGTTTGATAGAATTTGCAAGTGGAAAATGAAGTGGTAGAGTAGGTGTCTCTTGCAAGTATGTAGGGTAAGCATGTGACTTCCAGACACTTAAGAAAGAGCAGGGAAATTTCAATGCATATTTGTCTGGTGTAAGTGCATTTTAGAAGGCTGCTGTATTGTCAGTTTTCACTTATTAATTTTTTAAGTGAAATTCACTTTACTAGGCCTATATTGACTTGAAATATTTTGTACTTGGCAGATTTGGAAGAACTCTTAAAAGACTCAGAACAATCTAGCACAACTCTGAAAAATTACGTGAAGTTTTCTGTTTGGGTTTCATTTTTCGAGATTTACAATGAATGTTTTTATGATCTACTGATTCCTGTATCAAATGACAAGAAAAGAAAAACACTGCGCCTTGCTCAAGACATCAAGGGATGTTCTTATGTAAAAGGTGATTAGAATACATTGCAAATTGTCAAATGTGCAATTTGAAAAGTTAGTCTTCCTGTAATAATGTTTCTTTCTAGATTAGAAAACTCCTAGCTGCATTCACTGTGGCACTAGAAATGCCTACCTTGAATATGGAAGGAAGTAATCTGCATACATAGAAATATCTGTACCTGTAATAGCATTTGCTCTTTATTCTTGACTGCAACTCTTAAAAGCCTGCATACGCTCCACTGCCTTGATATTTCTTTGAAATGGGAGAAATATTGAAAAAAATTGACAAATTTGTTAATGGGTTGGCTTTTTCCATTTTTTAAAAAAGACTCCAAAAGTTCTTAACTATGGTTATAATTAGCTCAGCAGTTCTTTTTTTTTTTTTTATTAGTATTTTCTATAGAGAAACAGACTTCAGAGAATATGTGAGAAAGTTCAGTCTGACTACAAATTACATTTTTCAGTACTCTAGTTTAATCAAAGCTGTGATATAATTCGTTTTGGGTTGGAGAGGCAGGGACTGAACAGTACTCAAAATAACAGTTCAGTGTTTGTTTCTGGATGTGGAAAAAACAGGGTTTGAAACCTGTTTGATTTGTTACAGGTCCTTTGGACAATCAAGACACCAATTCTAGATTAAAGGCTTTTTTGTAGGTGCTTGGCTTGCTGCTTTTATCTTTCATATGCCAAACTATAGATTCAATAAGCTGAGCTGGACGATAAACCCAATTCCTTAATTTCTTCAAAGACTAGAAAATGTGTGAAGTAGGAAATAGTCTGCTTTGAGCTGTGCTTCAGCATGATCTTTTTTTATAAAGCTTGGAATTGTAAGACTGTTGTTATTGAGGAAATGCAGTTAATGGTTTTCTTGGTCACAGCTGGTAATTTTGCTAGTACAATTTTGGTAACCTCTACTTTAACAGAGGCCATAATGTTTGTATTAGAAGTTCTGTTAGTAGGGTTGTAAGTATTTACTCTAGCACATACCAAGATGACATACAGTCATCGTATTACAGACAAAATTCCTCACTGATCTTTTTCAGTTGATGGCCCTGAAAGATGTCCAGATTAATCCCTCCTCCCCAAATCACAAGCTAAAACAAAAAAGCTGTCCAGGTAGAACTCTGCCTTAATTAATGTGAACACAGCGCTTTTTATGCTCATATTAAACCCTACCTTGTGGCTTTTCAGTGCTCAGGCTAAGGTTGCTCACTTAATTTGGATGGAACATATTATAGTGTGCTAATAGGATGAAACGGTGAAACACTTGTCCTTCCTTTCCCATGGAAGGAGGAATCCTGATGTTATTTGTCATCACGTGATTTCTGTCTGAAGCAGGCTTAGTAAAATGTTCATACGTCTCAAGTAAATGTATTATTCTTGATGTGCATACATTATCCCCTAATCCCTTCTTTATTTTTGATAATGATATTTACAAGACTATCATGTTTCTTTTTCCTAAAGATCTGCAGTGGGTTCAGATTTCTGATTCTAAAGAAGCTTTTAGACTGCTAAAACTGGGGTTGAAACACCAGAGTGTTGCAAGCACGAAACTAAATACTTGCTCCAGCAGAAGGTGAGAAACATTTTGAATAACATTGGTTATAGGATGCTGTGTGTGAGGAAGGAGAATCTAAAATATGGCTTATGGCTTTTAGGAGGGCAAGAGGCTTTAACAACGCCTAGATATCTAGGTTTCAGTTATGGCATCCTTCACAGAATCACAGAATGGTAGGGGTTGGAAGGGACCTCTGTGGGTCATCTAGTCCAACCCTCCTGCCGAAGCAGGGTCACCTACAGTAGGCTGTAAAATCCTTAGTAGTACGTGATCCAATGCTTTAAGCCAAAAGGATTCAGTCCTTCAATAAGATGAACATGTACAAAAGCTAACAGCATTTTATCAAATACAGTCCTTCAAGCAAAAGCACTTAGCTTTATTCCATCTAAATGTCTGAGGAAAAAGCAAAAAAAGTGCTACATAAATATCTCTTTAAAACTTTGTATCTGATAGAGTATATACCTAGGTACGTTGATAGATTCAACACCCTATTGAACACATGTTGTGGAGGCTAAAAATATTTTGAAGGTATTGTTCTACTTTATCACTTTTCTGCTGATTTTAAACTTCTCCTTTTAGTCACAGCATATTCACAGTTAAGATACTAAAAATTGAAGATGCAGGAGCACCACGAGTGACCCGAATCAATGAGTAAGTTCAGAGCAGAGTCCCCCTTTTCTTTTGCAATGACGTTGTCAGTTCTCTTTTATCTTGGTGTACTGGTACTGCACTATACACCCAGTGCTCCCTGGTAGAGGCCCATGCATGTATGGTGGTTTCCCCACTTCCTACACTTGTACAGTACTTGGCCCTCTACCTGAAACCAGCAGGTTGCAATGCTGTTCTGTATCTTGTTCTCTATGTTCAGCACAAGGTTCTGCTACCCTGCCATACTACTGAACTCATGTAAGCCCTCAGAAGGAAGAGAGAGGGGGGAATAGGAAAGGGAAAGGGTTTGGTAGGAAGTAGTTTGAAATTTAATTGGTGAAGCAACATTGAAAAGCGTGGAAGGGTTAATGCAGATGAAGATCAAGAAATTCTTCCTCTAAGAAAAGTGATTCCCTTTAAAAGGTAATAATTTGTGCGTGTGCTAAGGTAAATAAAGTGAATTTTCCTTATCTGCTTTCAGACTGTCAATGTGTGATCTTGCTGGCTCAGAAAGATGTACCAAGACCCGCAATGAAGGTGATAGATTGAAAGAGAGTGGAAATATAAACACTTCTCTCCTGATTCTAGGCAAGTGTATTAATGCACTGAAGAACTGTCAACAGTCAAAGTAAGTCCTTTTACGAATTGCAAACTGGTTTTGTTTTTTAGGTATTATCTACAACATTTAGAAAATAGCATTAACATTGTATATTTTAAACAAGGAGTTTTTGGTAAAAAAGATGTATATACTTGTAAAGTCTATACTGTGAAGTCTTGTTGATCTACCAAATTTGTCTTCAGCTTGCCTTGTTTTGCTCTTTAAATCATTCACATTCAAATATCGTTTAAGTGTGTTAGTGTATATTTTAGTGATTTAACTTTCTTCTGAGCTTGGCTCATTAAACAAACTTTGGAATAAGTTTAAAACCCCCTTTTCACTAGTGTCATAGTAAGAGTCAAATTTTCAGCCTTTTATTCCTTTGTAGAAAATGGAGTTAGTTTACGTATTTCTAGTGTAAGTTTTTTCATCAGCAATATATTGCTGTATTATCACAACTGTGCACTCTGGCAAAATTTGTCTGTTTTTTCTAAGTCTTGACAGAACTTTGACGCTCGCCTCCTGATCGAGCTAACCATATACAGACAAAAGAAAGCCTTCCCACTATTTATGCCCTAACTTGGGGATCTAAATAAGAGTAAAATATTACAAAAAGTTAGCTGTCTAAAAAACAGCACAATATATAGTCACAGCTGTATGTAACTGTCCAGGAACTGCTTTCTCCACAGGTTCTCATTTGAAGATCTGTTTCTGTCTGAGAAGTTGTATGAACTCTCGATATGCTGATTGATATGCCCAGATGTACTTTGCCAAATGCACTTCCCCCATAACACTGTTCCTGACAAGCTACCCAAAGTCTGTCACACCTAAGATGAAAAAGCTTTGCTAGCATTTGTTCCTGATTAATGCTACGTTTTGTGAATTTACAGTCTTTCTTATCTTCCTGTTCTTTCCATATAGAAAGGATTCATTAAAACTAGCAGCTGCTTAGAGGGCTGTTAATGTATTTAAAATGTCTTTTCCTGATCCTGTTAGCTTAGAATTTTAACAGTATAGAAGAAATGTTCTGAAGCATGACCTCTCAAAGTGTTAATAGATCCCCTTGCAAGATGAATAGGAAGCAGTAACTTTCTTAAAATTATTCCTGTTTATCAGTCCTGCTGCAAAGCTACTTAAGAGCCATATAAGTATTCTGGCAGGAGTGTCATTGTCTTGCTGAGTTCTGTAGCACTATTCATGTAACTGAATAGCTGTCGTGTCCAAAATGCAGGCAACCTATTCAGTGGCAAGTGTCATGTTTTAGGAATTCTCATAAAATTTCCTACAGCTACATCAAAAACTACATCACCAGCTGTTAAATTCAAGGGTACAACTTCTCATTCAGCAAATGCCAAACTGCTGGGGGATTAGGGAAAAATTTCTGAAAAGTATTTCCATGTGATTGGTGTATACTCATTTTCTTGCTTAGGCACTTGCTGTTGCCCGTTCTTGGAGGCAGGATACTGAGTGAGCGAGATCTATGATAATGTTGGATACTGCATGCTTAGAACTAGATAAGTCCTTTTCATCAATGCGGGAAGGAAAAGAGAGAGGTGGGGTGTGATTTGATGTAGCATGAGGCTATGTGACCTACCCTAGGCTAAATGCTGAACACGCTTTTGGTTTAAGTGCTCCTGTTGATTGTATTGCTATAGCCTGTCTGAGATAACAGCTAAAGCAGCAGTCACAACAGCTATGCAATCTCTTCACAAGCGGATATATCTAGTCCAAAACAATCTTAAGTGATTTAAAGACTACTGCTTTTATAAATATTTTTAAGTCTTCAAGCTGGATAGCTCTTACACTGACTGAAAATTATTAAACTTCTGGTCATCTGTTCTTTTGTCTTTAAAGGTTGCAGCAGCATATACCCTTTCGGGAAAGTAAGTTGACTCATTTCCTTCAAGGATTTTTCACTGGAAAGGGGAAGGTGTACATGATAGTAAACATAAGCCAATGTGCTTCAGCTTATGATGAAACACTCAATGTGCTAAAATTCTCAGCCATTGCACAAAAAGTAAGTGTGTTGTAGTTTATCATGTTGATCGGTATCTATGATTTGCATTTGAAGAGCAGGTTTTCTCACTTCTAAGAATATGAATTTAGTTACTGCATTTTTCTGTCTCATATTGCAGTCATAATTTCTAATTACTCCTAGTCAGGCTTTATTTCACTGTAAATCTTTCAAAAAGGCTTTGTTATCTCCTACTGACAATCCATAATTCCTATAAAATGTCCAGTTTAAGACACTTGCTATATTTGGAAGAAATTACCTCAAATCTAGGTAAATTTTTCTTCTGTACTCATAACATGCTCTCACCTGGGAGCAATTCTAGCTGCCTATATACTACTGATATCTTAATTTTGGAATATTGCTTACCTGAAATATTGATAAAATAGGTCAAGCACCAAAGAGTTTGAAAGGTCATCTTTAAGTACATAGAGACCTCAGCGAGAATGTAGAGGTTAAGCAGAATGAGTAGAAGTAAGTGCAGTGATATAACCCTGGCGAAGCTGGAAGACAGAAGTATCAGGGATCAGTGATGAAGCATTAACGGAAGCTATGGAAAACTTCTGTTGACAGTTAGATATGTTCAAAGGACAATAGATCCAGGCCTTTGGAATGTGGGGTCCTCTAAGCAGGTTAAATACAACCCTAGAAGGAGCAGACTGTAAGGGTGTTGGAGAAATATAATTTGTAGAATGACATTCATGTGATGCAACTAGAAACTCAAAGCATAGTAAATACAGAAATCTGTTGGTGCATGAGGTGATTGTCAAGATGGTGAAACTTGGTGTTCCTGGGGTGAAGAGTCAGACTATAAAGTGACTCCTTTGTAGTCTATCTGGAAACTGGTCTAAGTAGTGATTCTGAACCGAGGATAGGCTGGGGGAGTACTATGCTCAGACCTATAGAGAAGTGCAACAGGTATCTCTTAGAGGTGCCAACAGAGGTTTCAAAAATACTGATGACTCTTTTCTCTGTTTTCTGTGTAGGTTTTAGTTATGGACACATCTGTTCTTCCTCAAGATCAGTCATTTGGCCAGAAATCACCAAGAGAATCATCACTACTAAGATGCACTAAAATGCCAGTCCCAAGGAAAAGAGCTACTGTCCTATGGGACACAAGCTTAGAAGATGTGCTTGAAGATGATGATGAGGAGATGGAGGAACAGCATAGTATGTCAAGAGAAGAAGCAGTGCAGAAACATGAAGATAATGAAGTTCGTATTGGAAAAGAAAAATATATGGTATGTACTAGGGCTACTTTAAGAATTAGTGGAGCATGGAGTCTTGAAGGAAGGTATTGTTCTCCCAGTTTCCCCCATCTTATACCTATTTTTTTTTTTTTCCTGATCGCACTTATTCTGCCTAAATCCAGTGTTAAGAACTAAAAGTGGGATTACTCATGACTTAGTGCCTATTGTGGGACAACTCTATGAAATGTGTCTAAAACCATACTGAGCAGCAAGAATTGCAGATTTGGCTTTCTTTCCCAATGGTAACCAATGGTCAATGCATAGCAAGCATTACATGGTTTTTAGTGATACGGAAGACTGTTGCTTTATATTCTATGCACAAGGAAACTCTGAAAAATGTTCTTGAAGGAATAACAATCTTAGTAAATTCTAGGGAAGACGAGGAGGATGGAACAGAGGATTAGAGACTGTTCTGTGGATGTTTTGTTGATATTGCCCCAAAAATGAGCATCTTGAAAACAAGACCCAAATCCTGTGGACCTGAAGCCTGTTTTTTAAGACAACTTCAAGTTTATTACAGGAATTCTTAATGTTCTTTGCAAATGCCTGCTCTGTACAAACTTATAAATTGCGGTGCTAGTACCAAACAGATATTTCAATCTACTCATGAATCCTCCTGTTTATGAATAAGCTAATAAAAAAACAGAAAGAACTTTTGCCAGCAGGAAGAATAAAGTGTTGTTGTAGTGTTTGAGGAATGAGAAAAATCTTACTTCTGGGAAACTATTTTTTTAATGAAAAACTTAATACTAATGGTAATTCTAGACGCTGCTGAGTCTCATAGAAGAGTTGAAGAACAAACTTATTACTGAAAGGAAGAATAAGTTATTGCTGGAACTGAAAATTCGTGAAGAAGTGATACAAGAATTTACCCAAAATTTTGCTGAGCAGGAAATAGATTTCAAGTAAGTTAGCTTTAAGTGGGTTTTAAGTTACTGTTTAAAAAAAAAAAAAAAAAGTAAATTCATTTATTTTTTAAATCTATCTCTTGGCCATAAGAGACCACACTCTTCTGCTAGACTCTGTTAATAGATCAGTTTCTGTTTGGACTGTGAATTCAGGAAAAATACTGTATAGGACAAGCTTTGATTTTTGGGGGGTGGGTAGGGGGGTGTGTGTGTGTGTGTAACCTGTAAGCAGTGTTTGTTCGTATAGAGCTCTCCCTAAGAGAAGAGCTGTGTTCATAGGATGTCTATTACTGCAGTCCTAGTGATACTCCAGACAGGTATTCTGGCTCAAGAAGCTTAGAGAAAATGCCTGTAAAGTTAAGTGTAATGCATAATCTGTGTATATATTTGTCTCCCCCTCCTTCTTCAGGGGGGTGTGTGGGATATATACCTCTATTTTTGTGTAGCAGTACAGTTTTGTGTATCTTTCTATTGCGCCAAAATAAAAAAAAAAAAACAAAAAACTTTTTTTATAGGCAGCTGTACTAATAACTTCTTCGCAGCTCATACTGGCTAGCTTTTAGCTGATTTATTTTTCCTACTGTAGAGAGTGCCTTTATCAAGAACGAGAACGGCTTGAAGAAAATTCTGAAAGACGCCTGGAAATCTTCAAGGAACTTACAAATAGTTATATTAAAAATGCAGATGAAGAGAATAAGGTAAAGGATCGGCTTTGCAGTGAACAAGCTGCACCTCTGGTATTTTTATTTTCCCCCCCCCCCAATAACATCCTTTTTACTAATTACCCGTTATGGTGATGGTATGTCTGAAAGATTAGAAGGATGTTTTCAAGGAATTGTGTGCTGTGTAACTGTATCCTCAGCAAGATACATTTATCACATTTAGTAGGAGTGGTTGCTGAGCCTCAGGTTTGCATTTAGGAATCTTTGAGGTCTTCTGCATTTCTGCAGCACAGTAAAAATTACTGTATACAAAGAAATTGGGAGAAAAACCTGCCATTATGGTATAAACTCTATTTCATTAAGTGCCTATTTAAAGTATTTGAAGCTGACTTCCTAGGTCCCATGTATGGACTGTACTGGAGCGGTCCCTGAGACTTCTTCTCTCTTAAGACTATTGTAGCTACCACTGAAGTAATGAGAATTGTATATACACTTAAGCCATAACTAGACTTTTAGCTTGAGGTGGGCTTTTGTGAATTTGGAACCCTTTTTTTTAAAAAAAAAACAAAGAGGAAATATATAAAGTCAGTGTTTTGAGTACAAGTTAATTTGATAAGTTATCACAAACTCATTTCACCTTACAAACTTTTATTGATATATGAAAATTTCAGGTGTGTTCTTTCTTAAACTGTTCACTTGCTGTGTTCATTCAATGCTCTTACTGAGTAAAAAAAATACTAGCTTTTATATTAAATTTGGAGGGGATGCTTTTGTGGTGATATGAAAGGGAATGTGATGGTGGGTCATTAAATCCTATAAAAATAAAGTAGCTATTACTTGATATTGAGACTTATGTATGCAGGTAGACAGAAACTGGGAATCAAATTGCATATGAACCTACAACATGGCTTTGAAGCTAGAATTAACTGTACTTATATGTTTGAATTCATAATTGTCTGCCAAATTTCCTGCAGAAATAACAGCTTTTGTGTAAGTGTTTACTATTTGTAAATGAATATAAATTATCTTTCAGGGTGACAAATGTAACTTAGGGCTGGGCACCTACATTGGTCTTGAAGGCATTATTGATTCTCTGCAGAATGATGTCATTGATATCAAAAAGCAGGCAGAAGATATATATAGATACGTTGTGTCCCTAGAGGACCCACAGGAAGCTATAGCTTGGCTTGAAAAACAACTAGGAAAAATTACCACTGAACTGACTAAGACCAAAGAAGAGCTGACAAAGAAAACCAATGAACTAATCAAAACTGAAGAAGAGCTGACACAGAAAACCAAAGGTGAGCTGGGTGTAAGTGTGATGTGAAAGGCAGAAAAAGGAAATGATTGACTACTGTAAAACAAAATAATAGTCCAGCTGAGCAGGATTTTGGAACCAAATCATATGTATGGAGGTGGTAAGCAATTATTTTGTGTATGTTCAAGTTGAACAATTCCATAGGCCTCGGTTATTTCATTTTTAAGACAAAGCTTAAAACTGTCATTTGGAGACTTCCAAATTGAAGGGTAAAATGTCAACATTATTGATTCTTGATTTCATGGTTATATTGTAATACCCGCGCTTTACATTTTGCTGATGCAGTGTTTTCAGGTATGTTGTGGAACATCCATAGAGGAAAAAGTAGCAATACCTCATAATACGATATCAGCAGAAGTCTCTTAACATGATCTATATTTTATATGGGTTGCAAGGCCCAATTTTTTAATTGAAAAGACCTAAACAACTTTTGAAATGTGTCCTGTAAGTAGAAGTCAACATGGAAATACATGAATCTATTCAAAAGCTACTAAGGTACCAGAAGATCTGGAAAAATGGATTACTGAGTAATCTATGTAATGGCTGCTTACTTGATGCAGGCTTCTTTTTCTGTTACAGACTTTGAAATACAGATGATTAAATTGGATGAGTCTGCTGAGCAGCTTAAAGAAGCAACTGAGGTAACCTTCTCAAGGAGAAAAACTTGTGCAAAATTTGTTTTAATACAAAATTCCAGTAGCTTAAAATTCTATTATAGTATGCTTCTAGCTTTTTTATGCATCAAGCTTAGCTTAACTGATCTTGCTTCTAAATGCATGATGTAGTTCAACAATTTGACACTGACTGAACTACTATTCTTTCTTTTCCAAGAAAATGGATACACAGAATAAAAGGATTCAAGAACTAATGGACATTGTGGAGCAAAAAGATGATGTTATTATGAGACTACAAGATCTGATATCCCATTCAGAAGAAACTGTAAAAGACTATGTAAGTCTTAGACATCTCAATTTTCTTTACACAAAAAAAATCTGAATCTGTGCTGATAAAGGACTTAGCTATTTTGGAAAATTGAAGTTTTCTGTAAGTAATTGCTACTTGTTTGAAATGGTAGCAGGTGAAGGTAGCATTGAAACTAAAGTTACAGCAAAATGTGCACAGGGGTGCATGTAAAAAACAGGAGTTTCAGAAGCAATGATCTGGAGTTATTACTGGAGGACTGTAGATGAGACTCTGAAGAGCCACTCTGAAGAAAAAAAGAAAAAAAAAAAACAAACAAAAAAACACCAACAAAAAAACCACACCAAACCCAAAACAAAACAAAACAAAACCCCACAAAAAACCTTCGAACTGGAAGGACTTATGCACTGGGAGTGGAAGGATTATGTCACTGTCGTCTTATTTTTGCCTGAATGGATGAGAAAGGAAAGGAGCTTTTGCTGCAGCAAAAGGCCAAACTTAATTGAGCTAGAAGTTAATAATGTGAAAAGGACAGTGATTGTGTAGATTGGCAACAATAATCGGTGTGTTCCACCCACCACCACCACGCATACACACTTTCAGAGGAAGAGCAGCAATATGAATATATTGAGCATAGTTTGAACTAAGAGCCGGGTGACCAGGGTGTATCTGCTTTTGATGTGATTAATAAAACTTGCAACTGGCTAGTCTACTGCTAGCTATTGAATGCCAAAAGACTAGTTTGGCTAAATATGTACAGGTTAAAAAGAAAAATCAAAACATACAGTTAGGTTTTTTGAGCCTGATGTTTGGTAAGCTCAAGCAGTTCTGAGAACACTTTAAATGAAACTTAGTCAGCACTGATCTGTTTCTGTCTTCCACTGTAAACTTAAAGCTTTGACTATACTTAATCTTCTACTCTCTCTCTCTGTCTCACAGCAGCTTAGCTTTTTCACTAGTATGAATGCTGTAAGAGTGATAAGAGTTGTGACGACTGCTTATTACTACTCCTTCCAAGAGCAAGGTTCCAGTACTGTCCAATGTTTCTATGAGATTATGTAGCATGGAACTTAAAACATGACCATAAACCTCAAGTCTGTTCTATAGATTTTTAATTGTTTTTTTTAATGGTGCACTTAAAGATGACTAATTGGTCCTTGGCAACCAGCATGGCTTGCCGCTTGTGTCATCTTGCAAGCAAAGAATTTTTATTCTCACTCATATATATAGTCTAAAGTATGTATGACAGAACTGACTAGGCTTTCAAATTGCATCTGATCTGTCATGATAAAAATGATCTGCGGCTTTGCTGAAGGCGGTTAAAACTCCCAACTCTACCAACTATGACAAAAAAAGTTGTGAACTTGTAGAGCTGACCACCTGTCCTGTGAACAAATTGGGAATTTCATCAACTCTTTTTACACTGGACATTGTTTTCAGGTGGTAAACAAATTCCTCTTACATGCAAGTCCTGCATTTTGCAGTTTCCTAGTCTCTTGCTCTGCTTTCTGTGTAGTGCAAAGCATTGTGCTTACTAGTATCTGAAGGTGTACGTGCTTTTAACTGATCTGTAACTGACTTGTTACTCTGACAACCCCTATGCATGTTACCCAGATAGTTTTGTAAAAATATTTTTGTTAAAAGATTGCTAAACCCTTTAAGTGCTTACTTTGTAAAAGTTCAAAGTAATTGGTCTTATTTTATAACAGGACAACACTGTAACTACCATTAAACACAAATTGGCAGAAACCAACTCTAACGAACTGATTGAAAGCGGCCAGCTCAAGGATTGTGAGGAACCTGTATTGGAAGTGGGAAGAAAACGTTGCTTTGAAAATGAGCCTACTGTGGAAGAAGAGCCACCTACAAAGAAAGGTACAATTTCTACCATCACTCAACAGGGGGTCTTCCAAAAAACCTTGAGTACGCTTCCAGAACAGAAGCAAAAAGTTATGAAGCGTAAACGTTATGCTATGAGGAGAAAATCTACTATGTTAAACTGTAAATGGAAGTAACTGTTATGTAAATATCATCTGTCTTCCAGAAGGTCCTATGCTGTTCACTCCAAAATTCTTAAAATAAAAGTTAAGTTTTTAGGCTCTTTCCTTTCTGCTGCTTTTTCTGACCTGTTAATGTACTTGCAGACTCAGCTGTAGTTCTTAAGCAATTTCTGAACGGTTGTTTTTATATTAAACTTGCTGTTGCTGGTCTTCTGGGAAAGTATCATCTCCTGCTCAAGTCTTTTAAAATTGTCTAAGCAAGCATCAAAGGTGTCAATGACTTGCTGATTGTTCAGTCATACAGTATGTGCTGTGAAACTTCATGTTTCATTCTGTGTGCATGCTGTGGACACACCAGCCTGGTCAAGGTGACACTGCTGGCAAAGGAGATAACTTTCTACTTGAATGGAAGTAAAATGATTTTAAGTCCACAGACAGCGTATTTTGTGCAGCTTTCACATTTTCACTTCCAGTCTTTTTGATTTCTTCTCCTTATCTGTAAGCTTACCAGTATTTTTAAAATTATATGAATAAACTAGCTGCGGTTGAAGATCTTCAAGGATAAGGGTGAAACTTAAAAGGACACCAGTACTTATGTTATCCATTTCATTAAAGTTTATTTGTCAGCGAGACTGAGCTATATGAGACACTGACTTGTGCAAAATGGCATTTGTAAGATTTTCCTGCCTCTAACACTACTTCAGGGCACAGCTGGGCTTCAGTTTCTCATAGAACTACGGAAAGCATATGCAAAAAGAGAGTTGAAAGGTTTTCCCTTTGTGTCCCTTTCTTGCCTTTCTCCTACAGAATAGAAGCAAGTAAGAAAATCTTCTAGGCGTTGTTGGGGTGAGAATGGGATAGAAAAAGAAAAATAAGATTAAAAACAGGAAGGAGAAAATGTCTATCTTAATAAAAAGGGATAAAGCATGTTAAAAGGAGACTTGTCAGATCTGCCTGATCACAGAAAACGGAGGATACAGATGGTGAATAAACTGAATGCTGGACTGTCATTCATCATTCTGCAGTGGAAGAACAAGGGAACACTCACTCTAGTAGAAGATCAGTTTAAATTTACGGAACAAAGCACTTCATGCAGTGGGTAGTGAACTTCTAGTATTTGCTGCCCTAGGAGATGGGAGAGGCAGATAATTCTCACATTCTAGAAGCGGTTATACAAGCTGATACCCAATAGGTTCACACATACTGAAAAGGTTAAGTAGGGATGTATTGTCTCATATTCCTCCAACATTCCTGATTGTTCTGCATCAGGAAAGGTGCATAGGAAGTGGCTGAGCCTGCCAATAGTAGCAAAAGACAGTAAAATATTAGGCTAGGTAAGCCACTGGTGTGTGATCCAGTAGGGTATTTCTGATGTTTGTACAACTTGTTAAAATACGTGTCATATGAAGTCTTTCTTAAGAGAAGCTTCTGTCTCTACCAGGTGCATCTCTGATTTGCCTGTGCTGTTTTTGGTTGGGATGGATATTGGATCCTAGCAAGATCATTTGATGGTGCCGCCTATATAAATGTTACAGAAAGGGGGTGGGAAATGGCACTGATGTAGACTCCTTGATGTACTGGATAATAGTAGGTTTGTTATAATCTCATGACTGAAGCTCATTTAAACAAACAAAAAAAGTGATAGATCTTCTCAAACAAGAAATTAAAGTGGATAACTAACAGTGCTAATTAATGTCAGCACTGATATTTTTCTTTTGAGAAGAACAGGCTATTCAGTCATATTAAATATGTTTCTTTTGTGGGTGTCAAAAATAGAAGGCATCTGATTTAAAAACTGAGTTGTTAAATGCTCCATAATGGTGAAATTGTATTAATAGATGTACTTACATTTAATCATTCTTGTTAAATGTACTTGGCACAATAGATCAGTGAGCACAGCTACACTGTGATGGCATTCTCTTACAATTTAGATATGCTAGTGTCCTATCACCAAAGCTTATTTTTGGAGAAGGTAAGTTATCTTGTCTTGAAATTCGGGTTTTTGTACTCTTTAGGACTTGCCTCCCATGGTTTGGGGTAGGGCTTTTTCTTTTAGTGTTTCTTACATAGAAAGCTTTTGGCCTGAATGTCATGAATCTTCTTGCACTAATACTTATCCTGCTTTGCTGCATGATTGTGTCTGTCAGTACAGAGCATCTAGATCACTTCTAAATCCTCTTGTGAATGATCATACCCTTCTCACTATGGGTGTTGGGCTAAGTGCTGCTATTTTTTTTAATCTTAGATTGCAAAATATGTCTTAAAACACCTCAGTACCTCTCCCTTTTTTTGAAGCATGTAAAATTCACATTCAGCATAGGGATTATGTAATATTTTGTCTGATATGTTTTCTTGGGACTACACAACTGTGCTTTCAGAGAAAAACATATCCCAGTCTAAAACTTTTAGTCTTGTAGGATTTAGAAGCATGGCTTTACAAGCCAAAGTAAAGCTGCTGTTGTGCCTGACCTAGCAGGATCACTTGATAAGTCTAATTAGAACAGAAAAGAAAAGGTACAGAAAAGCAGGAGGAAAAAAGCATCCTGTGGAATCTGATCATTCTAAAAATAATCAAAAATCAAAACCAGAACTGAGATGGAAAACACTATTTCTAATACTTCAGTATGACTTTTTGTTAGTGATTTAAAGCTAGTAACTCTATAAAACTTGTTGGGTCTGTTCAGAGGACGTTTCCATGCAGTACACATGTACCCATGTGCTTAATGCTCCCAAACTGAGATGACTGCCAAACTCCACCTTACTGTAGTTGCAGTACGCAATACAAGAATTCATAATATCTCCCTGGAGTACATAGCTGTGATAACCTAATCCTTAGAGATATATAGCATACATGGACATGGTTTCTAAAATGCTTGTCCGAGATATAGCTGAAGTCAATTTTGAAGGTGGTGAAAGGCATGTGAATTTAGTTAGAATTGCTCATTACTTAAGGAAAAAACAATCCTAAGCTGATAAAGTATTTATGGAAATTTGGGGTTGTGATGGAATGTTGTACGTCTTTCTGGGAGAACTTTATATGCAGCACATTAGGTGTGGGCCTAAATAGTTATCCTTAGATCTAGTTTAGAAATCAATTGAAGAAACAAGAGAGGAAGATCCCAAGTACTAACCAAAAACATTGTGCTGTATTTTTAACTCCATTTTGTAAAGTAAGGGTATGTTGAGTATGAATGAAACTTCTCAGAAAATATACAATACTATTGCTCTTCCATATGCAGACTTGATGATTGCTTGGTGTATTAAAGGGATTGTTGAACCAGTGAAAGTGGAAACTAGATAGAACTATGAATGCTATCTAGCTCGTAGGTATTGCTACATGTTAGTAAAACTAGCTAGAGTTTTCTACTAGTGGTGCAGAGTAGAAGGCTGGAGTAGTGCCATGGCAAAGTGTTCTTTAAGGCTCCTGAACACCTCTTGCTGCGAACTATGTCTGGAAGACCAAGAGGCACCTATTGCATGTTAAACCGTTCAGAGGGCTTTAGCTACTTCAAGACTTCAAAATGACATATGATATGAGGGTGTGGCTTTCAGATGGTGACCATTTTCTGTATAGTAATTGCTATTTCGTATTGCTAGTGGCTTATACTATTGGCTTTAATCAACTTGAGCTGTATGGGTTTGTGGTGTTTGGTTTTTTTTTTTAGGAGATATGAAGGAGAGTTTGGGAGATGACTCTCTACGGCAAGAGAGAACTGGTTATGTGAGAACAAATACTTCTGAGTACTATGCAGAAATACTAGCACTGAAGGAAAGAACTGAAATCTTGGAAGGTCAGCTAGCTGCTCTTGAAGAACAATGCAAAAGGGAAAAAAACAAAAAAGAAGAATTCAATGGACAGATAACAAACTTGCATCTCAAGCTCTCTGCTTCTGAAGAAAGGGCTTGTGGCTTAAGTGAAGAACTTCAGCAGTGTCGAGCTGACTATCAGGAGATTGTTTCTGAATTGGACAAACAGAAAACTATAAATAAGGAACATGAAGAAAAGATTATTCAGCTAAATAATGAAGTAGAAGGTGCCAAACAAAATATAATTGATAAAGTGTCACAAATTAAAACAATGCAGTCCGAAGTAGATGAGTTGTATAAATGTCACTTAGAATCTTATGCTATTGATATTGATTTGTTTAGTGTAAAAGAACCCTTAGACTCTGAGAAAGCTGAACCAGAGGGAGCTCAAATGAGCCCTGTGTGCATGCGGTCTCAGACTGCTGCTACAGCAGATCAGAGACGCGAGAGCTCCTTTCACTGCAGTATTGAAAGCATGTGGGAAGAATGCAAAAATGTTATTAAGGCTTCTTCACAAAAAAATCAGCAGATTCAAGAACTACTTCAACAAGTTGAAAACTTAAAGAAGGAACTTCGTGACATGGAGAATTATAATAATCAACTAAAAATAAAATTAAATGAGACTGCAAATCAAGATCGTCAGTCCTTAAAGGAAAAAGATCTTATGAATCAGTTACAAAAGCAAATCCAGAAGAAAACCCAGGATTTTGAAAAACGGGCTGCAGAAGATCAGAGAGTAATTGCACAGTTTGAGGACGAAGTTACCAGATACCAAGGAAAAATAAGAGAGCTTGAATGCTGCTTGGAGGGTTTTAGAGCTAAAGATGATAGCATAACAAAGTTAGAAGATGTACTTAAAGAAAAAGAATCTATTATTTTAAATCTACAAAGTAATACAGTAGCCCTGCAAGAGAAATGTGCAAAGTCAGACAAAAAGCTGAAAGAATTAAATGATCAAGAAGGAAATTTGAAAGAGGAAGTTGCGCAGTTGATGAACAGCTTGGAGTACATGAAACACTCTCTTCGGGAAAAGGAGAAAAATGAGGAGGAGCAAATACAAGCTGTAGAAGTGTAAGTAAATATCGAAATAACTCATAACCCTTTTGAGAATAGAATCAAGTTAAAACTACCTTCTGTGAGCATCAGTTTATTTTGACAGAACATATTTGCATGTTTATCAATTTTATTAATCAAGCGGCTTCCTTAAGAAGTTTTAATACACTACATGAATTTTATATTTGCATATTCTGCTGGTGATATTTTCTTCACCTGTTTGTATATTCTTTCAAAAATATAGATCTAAATCATGTGGAACTATTGTAGAGGGAAACAAGAGGATGCAAGGAAATGAAGAATTATTCAAGGATTTCTAGCAGTTTTATGTTTCATAACCTTTCTGGAGGAAATAACATATTTTAATGTTATATCCTGTAACTTATACAAAAGCAGGGAATGTTTTCTTTGGAAAGGACCGGATGGTAAAAAGGAAAAGAAAAAGGGGGGGCGGGGGAAAGAAGCCTAGGGAGTAAACAGTGAACAGCTAGTTTTGCTAGTAGCTATTCTAGGTGAACAAAGTCTACTATAAGAACTTGAAGGAATAATGGATGTAGGAGTGTAGAACTTCCCCCAGTGTCCTGTACTTTTTAAATCTTTAAGAAAGAAGAGATTAAATGTATCTGAGACATTATATTTGCTGTATGGTAAGGAAACTGCAATCATGTAAAAATACCTTTAAGATGCGATGTAGTCCTTCTCCTGACTAGGGTTTCTGTAGTGCCATGTCTGTGGGTACCTGCATGTACTCTAAAGTACAATTTAGCATGAAAGTCTGGATATCCCCACCCCTGTGCTTGTAAAGCTTTGAAAGGTCTTCCTTTTGTGAGGCCTTGTTTTGTATTGTCAATTGTAGAACCTAAAAAACCTATTAGTTAGTTTTAAAGTAAAAATTTAAGATGTCTTACTGTAAACTTTTTTAAAATAAATATGGCCATTTAAAAGCAAACCCATCAAACCACTTAATTACTTTGTAGCGCTTGTCATAACAGTACTTGTTGCAATGTTATTTTTTTCTATCTTATTTTTATTTTTACTTATTTTGATCCTTACAAGGTCTGGGATGCAATATCCAGTTTAACTTGGTTAATATTAACTTTGTTCCTTTTGTTACTTTATTAGGACACCTAATGATAAAAATGGTTGCTCTACTGTGCTTAAAAAAATAAAAAATGTAAAATTACAGTGTTCAGAAGTGAAGCGGAGCAGTTTGTTACTTCAGGATCATGAAGTATGAAGCAGAAATCCAATCATTGGTCAGATAGATCTGAGATTCTATTCATGAATAAAACCAGCAGTCGAAGAGCCTGAGTTAATGTATAAAATCTGTTTCTTTGAGATATGTAACACTGATGTTATTTATGTCTCTTAATTTCTTACACAAGACTACGTAAAGATCTTTCTGAGAGTTCTGCACTTGTACAGAGTTTGAAAAAAGATTTGGAGAGGAAAGAGGAAGAATATACAGATTTGAAAGAGAAATTTTCTGATGCCAAGAAACAAATTCAGCAAGTACAAAGAGAGGTTGGTAACCATAAGCCGAACGTTTCTTCTGCAAGTTTGTGCTTGGGGTTCTGTTATTAAAACCTGTTTTCACAAATCTCAAGCTATGAACGTTAAAAGTGATTAATAATAACACTATTCTGAGTGATAACATTGAGAGTAACAGTGAATCTTAAGTTATACTGCCATTGCAGCCGTAAGTTAAAGATAAAACAAGGTGTCAAAACATGGATTAGTACAGATATTGAAGGGGGGATGTAAATTTTTTTTAATACACTTGAAAAAGGTTTGTGAAAACTGTGGCTAATCTGGTTATGGAGAAGAACTTTATGATCTTTGTAACAGCAGTAGCCTTATGTTGTTATTTGTGCTGACTACAAAGCCTCAGACTTGTGGAAAATTATGATCTCTGGGAGGAAAAGATGGATTAGTCAGAAAAGGAAAATACTGATTTCTAGAGACTTTTTAAAATCTGAGCTATGTTTTCTGTATGGAGAAGAAATGGAAAAAATGTAGCTTTTACTGATGTTAATTGTTAGCATTTATCAAGCAGTGGGATTTCTTAGAACCTCATGGGATGTCACAAAAATTTTAAATCCAAAAGACTATTGCAAGAGTTTGGGCTTGAAAGTTAAGCCTTAAAAAAAATATTAATGTCTTCAACAGCGTAACATTTGAGGACCTTTTCCTGCTCAACACTGAGTGCATAATGCTCTGTTTGGGAAGTAGCAAGGAGTGGATGATGGGATCACATGTCAGAAAATGTTCCTTTTTTTGTAGCTTGATTAGGCTATTTCCTGGTGGTGGTTGTTTTTGTTTAGGTTTGATTTCATTGGGTTTTTTCCCCTGCCAAATGTAATACTATATGGTAAAAATCCTTCCTTAAGAAGGATGTACAGTATAGTGCACTTCCGGCCCCTGAAATTTTGCTAAGGTGCTTGCAAAAATTTGACTTTTAATTAAAGCAATTGGTTATTTAGATAACTTACAGAGATTGTAAAAAGCTTGTAGCTGAATGTTAGTTTTGGTTGTTGTCTTTGTGAATTGTTACAGGTGTGTACAATGCAAGCAGAGGAGAAATCACTAAGGAACAAAATTAGTGGACTTCAGAAAATTAAAAACCAGTTTAGTGAAGAATTAGAGATCAAACAGCGCACAATCCTGCAACTTAAAAAGGTGTTTGATTTTTTTAAAAATGTTAATTGCTCTTGATTTTTTTTAACTGGTTTATTGACGAGGCAAGTTTTCGAAGCAACAGGAGAAAGCTTACAGAAATTTGGGTAAAAATAAGAGTAGCCAGCTGAAATTAGTTTTGATGGATGAATGAAAGATTGTTTAAAGAACTTCTTATTGATGTTTAAAGAACTTCTAAAGAATGTTTGAAGAATGTTGTGATGTTTAAAGACGTTTAAAGAACTTGTTACTGCAGGACATTGTCAAATTGTTTTAAATAGAGTAATCTGCCTAGTAAATATATAGTTAATACCTGCAGATATTCTGACTAGTGACAGATATGTTAATAATAATATCTTCCTCTAAACATTTTTTTTTCTTTAAATCAGCTTGAATGCTCCTTTACACTGTATGAAAAATTTATTCTGGACTGTTTGTCTTAACTAATGAATAAAGTATTTAAGGCTACTCATTTCTAGCATGTATGTTTGTTTCTTTCAACATGTTTTCTTTAATTTGCTTGCAATGCAATATTTAGGAGCAATCGAATAACAAGAAGCTGGAAGAAATCTCCAAACAGTATGAGAAAACACGTGAAGGTCAGAAAAAGCTATTATTGTTCCATATTTTTTGGTGTGGAATGGCAACGTAATGAGTTGTCATTTTGTTAGTGAATTTAGAGGCTCTTGTATATTTATATTTTAGAATACTGAGAAACTCCAACCTGGATGTTAGAATGTTACAGTCATGAACTAATTTTCATTGAATACTTATTAGCAGGTATATTTGAAAGCAATAAGAATAAGAAACATACACCCCAGAGAAAGTGTGGATTTGCTGTATCAGTGTTAACTTAATAAATGTTGGTATTTATTTGCCATTTTAGTTGGCTGTTTGAACAAAACCAAACACTGAAACGTGACCTAGCACGATAACAGTTTCTGCAGGTTTGATAAACATTTAAAACTTGAACAACGGTTAGTTTCTCATATTATACAAGCCATAGTCTGACTGATGTGAACACTGAAATGCTCACCTAAATCGAGTTGATGAGAACCACTCGGATTTGAATAGTTCAGTGGAGATGCTCTATTTCTTTGTAACAGAGCTTTTGATCTTGGGGGATGGGGAAATGACTTGTAGTGAAGGCACTTTCGGACAGAATGGTAGTAACTAGTAGGAGGCTTATCTGTAAATTTACTCTCAAACCTTCAGATCTGTGTGCAAAGGAAAAAATAATTGAAGATATGCGGATGACATTAGAAGAACAAGAACAGACGCAGACTGAACAAGATCAAGTGCTTGAAGCCAAGTTTGAAGAGACCAACAAACTAGTTTTGGGTAATGTCTCCTTGGAAAGGGAGCAGGGAGGCAAAATTACTTCGTATGTATGGTGATAGTTGTTTTAAATTTCTGTTTTTATTTGTTTACTGTTATTTAGACATTAATTTTATGTAGTACATAACAAACTTCTAACAGTTAAAGGCTTCTGTTCCTTTGTGGTCATAGCTGATAAATCCAAGTAACTTTAGTAGAAGGATGTGAACATGGTCAAATATGCATTTGAAACTATACATTATGTAACCTCATTTTGTGTACTGACTAGAACTGGAAGCATGGAAGCAGAAATGTAAAGAGCTGACTAACCAGAGCAATAGTGACTGGCAGCAGAAGATGAGCAAAAATGAGGAGAAAAACGTAAATGAAAATGAGGAATTAATAAAACTGCAAAAAGAACTGAAGGTAAAATATGGTGATGTAACTCATACTTAGTTTTAAAGGCATAACTTTCATTTAGGAGTCTGAATTTTTTTGTGGCACTGTTTTCAAGGGCTAGAGCATGTTATGGCAAGTTGTTACACTGGTGAAGGAAACCTCCTCTAAAAGCTGCAGTGTACCAGTGCAGCAAAGTCTGGATGCAGTGTCCTTGTAATGCACAGCATCACTGGTGCCCCATGATGGAGTGTGCTCTTCGCTACGTTATGCTGCTATGGACAGGACTCCTGTAGCTGGGCTCCTCTACAGTTGTCTTAAGCAATCCAACTCCTGATATCTGTTCCGATCCTCTTCCCTGTCAGTTGCTTGGGCAACTAAACCAAACTCTTTCAAGATCTAGTGCTTGCTGTATGACCTGTAAGTCCTTCCTGTTAGGCTGAGGACTTACCTCTAATTCTTCTGGGATTAGAAAGTAGACTCTTTTCCCAAATAACTTTTCAGATGCCTTCTGTCTTATATGGAAGAACGTCTGACAAGACGTTTGATTGTAATAGAAAAGGAGACGAAGTTGCTGTGGTTTGAAGTGACGTTCTTAGGTACGCGCTGTCTCTGCCTAACATTCAAACCGTACTGCATTCTAATGTGCTGTAAGGCAGCATAAAAGATTAGGAATTTTTAAGTTAAAAAGTCTCTTTACCATTACTTTTGGTGTAACTTTCATAGTGTTTGTGACTTACCCAGAGCATTTTTAGGGGGAAAAAAAATCTATTCTATGAAGACTTGCCAGTCTGAATAAGAAATGATGAAAATGGTTGGTGGTTTTTTTTTTTCAATAGAGAAGAACAAATGAGAGCATAATACTTGCACTTGGCAACATGCTGGCTTAAAACTGTGCTAGTATTTCTGTTATCTTTTTGAAATGAATCCATTTAATGGTAATCTAGATTTTAAGATTTCTTTTCTTTTTGCTTAATTTCTACCTATGGTTTTATTTCTGGTTTTATTAACATAGGAAAATGAAGCTAAGTATCAAACTGATAGAAAGAAGTGGCTGGAAGAAAAAATGGAACTCATAGGTCTAGTAAAAGAAGCTGAGAGCCATCGCAATGGAGAAATGAGAAAATTTGCGGAGGACGGAGAACGTCATGTAAAGCAACAAGCAGAAATTGTAAGTGAGTGGAGGTCTCAGCAGGGTCCTCTAATGTAAGTCTTTAGTACAGAGCAAATCTCATCTCAGGTGTTGACTGTGTGGGCACTTGAGGGTACCTAGCCTTTGTCAAAGTACCCTCACTTCATCACATGGCAAAGTCTAGATGAGGCCTTCTCAATATGAAAAGGGAGGTATAGGAGAGTCACAAAATGAAAAAGCTTAGTATATAATGGAAGTTAACAAGCCTGTTCCTACTTAACGAGGGTAAGAAAACATACTTTGAAAACCAAGGTTTCTTGCTTGGCTTTTCTAAAAAAAAAAAAAGGCAAGCTTATGAGGCTTTAGAAGGACAAGAATAAGCAAGTAGAAGTTGACGAGAAAAAAAAAGCTTCTTTCTAGATATAGAGTAAAAATACTTGGTCAAAATGCTAGTGGTTTTGCTCCCATATTGCTTTCATAGTAGAGTGACTGACAGTTAATAAGGAAGTGGATACCTTGCCTGTTCACTGGGCTGCATCGAGGTTGTAATTTCTTAAGCATGTAAAATTATTATATGAATCTGTACAATCTAAAACTATATTTGCATCTAGAAGTAGTTAGCAAGACTTTCTGGACCTGCAGTCAGTACAGGAGGATGTTAGGACCTGAAGACTACTTTCACTTTTGTCTGTGACTGCTTGCCTGAGACTTCTTAGTAACAAAATCACAGAGCGAGCCAACAGGAGTTTTGCTTGGTTTGTCTCGAGCTAAGAATTCTCTTCACACAGAGTATAAATATAGATAAAGATTTTCTAATTGAAGCATGGTTTGCTTGTGCATATTTGTAGTGAATCTAGTTCTATGTAAGCTTTGTACGATCTGTATAGGCTCTCAAGTTTACTAAGGCCATAAAATAGTACTAACTATGCAAAATCAAACTATCGGAACCGTTCAGATAGCGTGTAGATGTCGTGTTCAGTTCTAACCAATTTTTCCCCATTTAGGAAAGGCTTGCTGCGCAGCTGGTAGAAAAGGACAACAATCTTCAAAAGTGGCGTGAAGAAAGAGATAAATTAGTAGAAGCTTTGGAAGTACAGCTCAAGACTTTGGCTTCTAACAGTGCACAAAAAGATAAAGAAATAGTGGAACTGAAACAGGCTGCACTAAAGGATTCAGGAAAGGTCATCTCTCTCACTCCTGTGACTTTTTTTGTTGTTGTTATCCATTAATTTTGCAAAACACAATACTTGCTCTTTGCATTTTCACTCTATTTTTTGTTCTTAAACAGTCATATTGAAACAATTTGCAGCTAATTTTAAAAAAAGACCTTTATTTATGTTTGTTCGAAACTAAATTTGTAACAGTAACTGAAGCTTCAAAATACTTAGTAGTTCAAATAGACACTGAAGTCTGATGCTTTGATTGCAAAGTTGGGATGCAAAGCTGAAGCAACTGTCACATTTGCTGCCTTTTTCACAGTGTCAAGGACTTCATGAACAAGTCAGGGGTGAAATTCTCATGCTACATAAGCAGAGTAAAATAAAAAATTTTGCATTACATATTCCCAAGCTGTTATATGACTTTTCTTCACATTAAATAGTGGCCACTCGTACATGAAATTGTTGGCTTTTTATTGGGTAGCTGCTTGTTTTAGCCTGGAATTCTAAAACTGATGCTGCCAAGTAATCATAGTGATGGTCATGTGTATGTTAATTTCTTCTGCCAGTCCTGCAAATTGTGGCAATTTTTGCTTTGTTTATTAGGATAAGGAAACTGATATAGAAGAACTAAGAAAACAGCTGGCCGAGAAAGATGATTTTATAAAGGAATTAAAGCAACGCATTAACCATGAAAGTCTTCAGGCTTTGGCAGAAGTACCTTTACCTGAAGAAGGACAAGATAAAATAGATCAGTCTCTAAACAAAGAGGTATGTTTGTTATATTTATAGAAAGTATGTGCTAATGATACTTTTGTTTTGTTGTTTTCTCAGGATATATTTCAGCAACACTGGGAATCTCCCAAAAGTTACTTTTCGTGGTTCTTCATACTTTAACTATATTTTCAGTTCTGGGTTTCTGTTCATTCTTTTCTCTCTCCCGCTTTCACACTCACTCTCAGGAAAAAAGTACTTTAGATAATAGAATACCACCTCTCTATACATTATAGAACTTAACTAGTTTTTCCCTTGGGTATAGAACTAATCCATGTTCTAGAGATTTGAAGATATAATATTTGTAGTGTCATCTCAGTTTGTTTATGCGAGTGTTAAGCGGATTTCAGCTCAAACAACTTTCATGATATCACGTAAGTGTGGCAATAGAGGTGATTCTGTAAATAGAGCTGTCAGCCCATGTAGGGTTTCACAAGAACAAAACAGTGTCTTGCATCCCATTTAAACCAAAATCAATACAATATTTTATGTTTACACAAAGAAAAGATCAACTTGGCATATTTCCTGAACAAAAATTAAAAGGCTTGCCACTTTACTGAGACTCCTGACTGACTGAATTCTTGTGTGTTACATAAACAGTATTTAATGAGGTAGGTCTGCTGAACTGAATTAATGCTGTGTGGCTCCATTGCTGATTAATAATGGCCAGGGCTGACCATGGATTTCCTAGCAGTCCCTCCCCTGGCTGCTAGAAGATGTGATTCTCTTGTTACAGAACTGGACTGAATGCCAAAATACATCTCTTCATCTCTTTTCTGTCTACTGCCAAATAAGACTGTCTGGCTAGTTTCTTGCTACTTCATCAGTTCAGCTAGTGCCGTATAGATAAAGCTTGTGATATGTGAGGGAGGACAGAATAGCTCTCAGAAGGGTTACCGCTTTATACAGCTTTGTAATAGCAGCTAAGAGAGAACCATAAAATTAGGGTTTTGCTATAAAATTAGTTATAGAGAAGAATTGTTGTGAACAGTTGGTGCTGAACTATTTACCTCAAGCCAGTAGCAACCATACTTGATGTTTATGAATAAGGAGAGCCTGCTAATAGGATTATCATGTGAGAAACTGTTGTGGTGGTGAAGTGAATGGGGTAAAGTTTTAGGGGGAAGTCAAATAATTCTTGGGAAAGACATAGTAGAGATAAAGAAGAAACCATAAAGTGATCAAGGTGATACATGTCTCCTGCCTTGTGAGGAAAGCCTAAGAAACTGGCACTCTTGGTTAGGAGAGGTTAAGGCCACCCCAGGGTTATGGGGCTGAAGCTACAAGATCGTGGTTGTGGTGGATAAACAAAAGGCAGAACTGTCCATCCTGAAATCCTGCACAAACTGGGCAGCACTTGATGAAACTAACAGGAGATCATTTTAAAACAGTTAAAATGACGTATTCCTGTATGACGCAGGTACTGATGTTCTGGAGGTGGTGGAAACAGTTACTGTCAGCAGGGAATAGAAAAATTTGTAGTAGAAATCCATAAATATATTTGTAAATGGGTACTCTTAGGGTTAGGCAGAGGTGTACCCTCTGACACTTCTAATGCAGGAACTGACTCTGCTGGGAGGGTGTGGAGGCAACAGATGACAAGGTGGCCAGGATCACACATGTTATCCCTAAATAGTGTCTCCCTTTGCCACTTGTGGAGACAGAATATTGAACTAGATGGACTGTTGGCGAGACCCAGCAGGGCGCATCTTATGATCACAGTGTGAATAGATGTTACTGACTTAAACTTGTGTTGTCTTTCAGTCCAAGTGTTCATCAGCTGACTGCACTTCAGTTTTTATATTGTAACTTCAGAAAAAAATATATTTTGAGGTTTACAGTGTAGCATAATCTTTACGCATTCTGAATATTTACAGTTCATGGAAAAACAAAGCAAGGCTAATCCTATAGCTGGACAAAGTATTCCAGTAAGATATGATGAAGTTAAAGAGAATTATTCATTATCTCGATGTCCTAGCAGTGCCTCTTCATTAAGTGACATTGGTATAACACTTCAAATTTGAAAATTTTATCAAGTTATATGGATTTTACTAAATGCAGAATAGAGAAGAAAATGTGTCCTGTTACGTGAACAATGCTAAAGTTTTATTCTGCGAATTCCTTTCTTGATGATCGTATCCCCTGATTTAGTGGCTTTTGGGAGAAATAAGAACTATATAACATAATAATGCAAAGAATTATATCTGATTTCAACTGTACGCTCTTGAAAACTTACCTCTCATAGATGCTTATGAAGTCGCTGATTATTAGGTAAGTCACCTGAAAAAAATCTATAAACCCTCTTAGATGGATGAGCAATAGCAGGGCGAACAGGATTTGGTTTCTTCCACTGCAGGATTCCTGTGCATACCTGTGTTGGCTAATGACACTAACCATTCCTATGTAACTTTTTGATTGCTAACTCTCATGAAGTAGCAGTTATAAAGAAAAACTTTTTATTAGCCAACTCTGTTCTTAGGAATACAGTGGTGCTGGTATTCCTACTCAGAATCCCAGCAGAGCCTATTGAAGAAGATGACCTACTTTCCATGGGCTTTGATCATTGTCTTTTGAGAGGAAGAAGATACCCTTCAGAACGAACCAGCTTAAGAAACAATTTAAGAAACAATATTAGCTAGTCTGTTTGGGACCCCACTAGTAGCAGCAGTAGCAGCCACCTGCCATTTCTCACCACCACCAACCCCAGCAGCCTATATTCCAGGTTTCGTTCGAACAGCTGCTGAATTCATTTTTGTATGCTAGCCAGTAGCTGAACTGCTGACACAGAGATGCAGCAGCCAGGGAGACCACAGCTCTGAATTTCTTGCTGTTTTTGCTGAGAAAAACAGGGTTGTATGGATGGTGGAAAGGAAGTGCTGCTGAGGAAGAAGGGTTGTGCAAACTGACCTTTCCATCCCACCCTTACTGCGCAGTTCTTGCGGTTTGGCTGTAAGCAGGTACAAGACAAGGTCTTCAGCTTGCAGGCAATGGGGCTGCCTGAATGCCTGCTCTTCCTCCAGAGAACTGAGTCATGTAGAAGTCTTTCATAGGTTGAATTTGGCTTGTAGCTTGCCGGTTGGACCCTGTTACTTACACAACTAGCTTCTCTAGCATAGAAGCAGAAGAGAAAGCTCCCTAAAGATGAGCTAGAGAAAGATTATACTTTTCTCTCAAACTCCTATTACTGCCTAGTTCCTAAGGAGCAGCAGAGTTAAGATAAAGCAAATCATGTCAATTCTACTATTGCTAGCTGTGGAAACTGTGACTAGCTGTCTCTGCCCTTGAGGAAAATGCCTTGGAAACCAAGTGTCAGGCTGAGTTCAGCAAGGAAAACTTCAAGTTCTGTGATGGTATATAGAAATGTTAGCTTTTTAAAATTTAACAAAAAAGCGTTATAAGAGTTGAAATCTACTATAGTTGAAGTAGATTTTGTCACTTATAATAGAAGTGTTCCGAAAGCTAACAACTGGAAAATGGAATGTTTACTTTGCAATCCACTGGGGAGGGAAATGTGTTATAATTTTTTAACTCATAGTTGTTTTAAAACTTGTTTTCTTAAAATTTCAATATGCTTGCAGAACCATTCAGGAATTGTACTTGACTCTTCTGAAGTGTCCACAGAAAATGGAAAAACTAGTCGGTTCCCAAAACCAGAGATGGAAATTCAGTTCACCCCTCTGGAACCGAATAAGATGGAGGTGAAGCACCAGGGCAGCGCCTTACCAGTTAGAGTTAAAATGCCCAAGTCAAGAAAGAAAAGGAAGAGTGAAGAGGTGGTACAGGTATGACCTAGACCAAATGACAAAGAATGTTGCTCATTTTTTCAATGTACTGTTATGATCATTTGTAAAATCCTATCCTTATCTTCTGATTCTCATTGAGATCCTAAGGACCTGTCTAGGGTGAATCGCTGGCCTGTGTTGAATAAGGTCATAGATTTAAATTTATCCTTATTCTGGCCCTTTGTCCCCGATTTGCACTTTCTTGTTACCTTTTACATTTCTCTCTTCCCTGCTGGTACCATTTGCTTCTGTCTCCAGCTCTGATCTGTGGGATTACAGACCAGTTCTATAGAACTGCTTCTTTTTGTTTAAGCAATTGTTAGTATCAATTATCTCTTCTAATAAGCAATTACAAGTCAAGCCTCTGGGTTTAATGCATTTCAGAGTTTCAAGACCGATTCCTGTGACTTGATTTCTTCAGCCTGTGTTTTCTTTGCTCTTTTCATACTTAGAGGGACTGTACAGAACTAATTGCACCAGCACCTGAACCTCCCTGTTTTCTGTAGACTTTAATTCCTTCAGTTATGCTAGGTTATATGCTCCAGCCTGCTTAATGTGCTGTGGTGTTTACATGTGAGACTGAGGCTCCACAGTAGTTCAAGGTGGTAAAAATCTTCACTGCTGCTACCTGAAATGCATGTTACTTTGCTCTGCCTTTTATCAGCATCAGTACCAACACAGCTCTCTAAGACACTTACAAAGGCTGTGAAACCCTAAGGCCACACTGTGGTGGTACTTACATACTTGTAATCCTACTTGTGGGGCGTATGAATCTATACTTCTAAGGACTTTAGAAGCTGACAGGTGAGTGTGAGGGAGATGACATTTGGATGATTTGGCTAGGTGGTAAGTGATCTCTTTCAGTGAGTGAGCTTGTCTCAGCTGTAGAGTGAGGTATCTGAAGCTTTTTCCAGAATTTCTAATTCAGGCATTCCCAAGTGATGTATTTTTTAATCCTAGTAAAACAGTTAAGGGAGATAATAATTTCGGTGGTTAGTGCTCAACAGTACTTCAGTAAACTCATTTTGTTAAACCTGGATTGCAAAATTAGCTGTTAAAAACTGTGTAAGTTAATTCATCTGGAACTCAACGCTTCATTCTGGAATAATGCCCAGAGTTCATTTAAACTTCTTGTGTCTTGAACCAATTTTCTTCAAGAAGTGTATTCTCTCAGGCTGCTGGAATAGTAGGTGTAAAAATAACCACCCTTCTGAAGGCATTGAAGAAGTACCAAACCTTATCTACAGATGAATATATTTCATCTAATGTAGTTGTCCATGTTTTTAGAGAAGACTGTTTTACCAATCCATTTAGATCCTTTCATAGTGTAGTCGTCCGTGTTCATACCCTTATGGGATAACGTTTACCTAAGTAACCTTTCAATAACATGGAACAAAATTTAAAAGTATCTTGTTGCTGTTTTATTCACCTGAATGTTACTTTTAAATATTATTTTCTTGTTACATATGCCAAACCAAAAATAGATTATAAAATGATTCAGTAACTTTAACTGCCACAAGTCTACTGAAGACACAATTTGTTTTTTAAGTTTCCTAAAACTGAAAAGCACGTTGTCAGCACTAAAATTAAGGACTGAGGGGAAACCTGTGGTGCTAAAAAACACACATACTGCTCATCTCAATTTTTTAAAAAATAAAACCAAAAACCCCATCTCTTCTTAGAAACAAGCAAAACCAAATCTTTTGCAGAGACTACCTTCTAATTAAACAAAGAACAAAATTCTGTTTCTGTTTTCTGACACTGTTATCAGTCGATATGGCTGTCAGTTATCTGAACTCTCTTGGCACCGCTTCACAAGATACCTGTCATTAAAAGACATCATCTTAACAATGGTACTATGCTGCCAACCTGTTTTTATAGTTGTTGCTGTATACCTGAATTTATATTTAGATTTATTGAGTTAATTTCAATTTGTGTGTTTACTTGTCAAATCTCTTAAAGCCAAAGGCATAGGAAATAATAGAGAGGAGGAAACAATGTATGTCAGAATGGTTTTACTACGGGTATCTCTAGTTCCCTTCCACAGGTTTGTTTAGCATTTAATTCATATATGAGTAGTTACCTCTATCCTGTATAAGCGAATGCCTCCTTACTGTTAGTCATAGCACTTAAACACTAGATGCTTCTGTAATATAAATAATTGTTGTTCTTTCCAGAAGAATCCTGGTTGAAATATGTCATATTAATTTTTTTAGGATTTTGTGAAAAGTGAGAACAAGAAAAATACAAAACCTGCTATGACTGACTCACCTTCTACAAGCAACAAGAAAATGGTTTGGTTTTGTTCTATTTTTGAAGTTAGTTTGGCCTTTTCAGTAAAGGTGGACTTGTGAAAGGAGCAAACGTTCTTATGCAGCAGTATCTTATCCTTATATATGTACTTAAGTAACAATGATTCAAAGGGAAGGATATTTCGTATTAAATAGTTATGAAGACTGGTTTGAACATACTATTAGTGTATGTGGTGTTACAGGCAATGCCTCGTAAGTAAAACTAAGTTTCATGTCATCTATAAGCATGACAAGTACAAAAAGATTATTTTAGGCCTTAATAGTAACCTGAGCAGGTTCCGAAGGTGGGTAATAGATTTATTTTGCCCATCAGTTTCCTCCTGTTCTATTTATAACTAGAATAGCTTGTCTAATGAAATACTCTACAACTTTGAATCACTTATTTTAAAAAAAGAAACTATTTGTTTCATATATTACTGATGCCCTTAAATATATTTTGTGAAACTTTTGACAATTTGTTTTTTCTTCTGATTATAAAATGAAGTTGTCTATGTTGCTTGCTGTGGTGGTATCATTAGTATAACGAACAGAGGGTGCCAGGAGCAAAGCTCAAAATGTTAGCTCAAAAACAACATGGAGGTCAAATAAAATGGAATTAAACTTGAAAATAAGTAAATTTTTAACTTAAACAATGATCTTATGTTTCTGTACAGAAGTCTACTACACAGTCATTTAGAAAAGAATACTGCTTAAGAAAGCAAGAATCTACTTCAAGTAAAGAGTCAGCTAAAAACAAAGATGGAACACTACAAAGAATTGGAGACTTTTTTCAGAGTTCTCCTAGTATTATTCACTCTAAAGGTTTGTACAGAATAAATAAGGCTTGTTCCAGGTTGTCTGGACGTTGTAGAATACCTTTTTTTTTACCATAATCTGTTAATGTATATGTTGTCATAGGACACATCTGCTGCATTAAGTTGTTGTTTTGTTTATGAAATAAAGAATTCTGAACTGGGGCCTGCTATATTGAATCTTGCAGAGTAGAAAGGCTGTCTTGATTTCAAGGACCACATGGTTCTAAAGTTTAAGTTAAGTGTGTAAGGCAAACCAGGTGGAATTCAAGGACACAGTGTTGAATATGTGCATATAAATTTATCATAAAAGTAATGATAACGTGAAGCTTGAAAAGTCTGAGTTACAGTAAAACGATTAAAGGCAACTTCAGAAACTTGCCCTGCTGCTCGAAAAAATCAAGAGCTGAATCCAAACACCAAATATTACCTTGTTCTGTAAGCAATATTTCCCACCCGCCCCACCTACCTCCCCCCCTGCTTTGTTTCTGTGAAAACTGTATTAATGTTTTTTGATGTACGTACGTGGGAGAGGAAGATTAGTTCTACAAATCTGAAAGCCAGTGTCTCATGAAAATGTTTGGAAGGCATAAACTGACTATGAAGCAATTAATGGATATTAAGTTTAAGCATAGCCTTGGGAAGATTAACTGCTAGGACTTTCAGTTGATGAATATAATGTATTTTTTCTACAGTGAGTCATGATCTCTGAGTTACTGTGGTTTTTCTTTTTTTAAAAAAAAAATATTAAAATTAGCAGAGGGCACAAGGAATCACCAGTGTTAAATTCTAAAAGATGGTGTTATTTGGTTGGTTAAAAAAACATTAGTCATTATTCAATGTGGACGGTTAGAATTAAGATCTCTGTACCAACTTGAAAACTTGGCTTGTTACAGACTACATCTTACTTATCTGCTGTAAGACAGTCTAGATGATAATGGAATTTTAAAAATTTTCCAGGTTTGTCAGATTGGTTCCATGAGGACCCCATATCATTATCAATGGAAGCCAAATTCAGACTACTCAGAATTTCACCCTAAAGATACTTGATTGGAGAAAATGAGTTCTAGTTTGTAACCTTTATTACCATGTTCTGTATTTTTTAACTCTTTTGCAGAACTTAGTATTGTTTGAGATTTCCTTCTAGCTCATAATATGCATACACTTGTCTCTTTAGAGAGGGTATTACTAGTTTGATAAAACTATATACAAGTATATACAGAAAATTGACTCTACCCTGTGCTTCTGTCAGCATGAAGAAGTTAAGCCTGTTGTTTGACTCCTGTTGAAGTGTTTAACTTGCAGTCAAATCTGAATCCTAATTGATTTTTAATGTGCTATTTAAATGTGTCCTTTAGCTTTTTCATCTGAAGCTGTGGAAAACTCTGCTAGTCAAATACCACTTCTGAATTTCTATAGTTAAACTTCAGACTACATCTCTTTCATTTTCAAACTGTTTTTAAGAAAGCTTGCCTTATACATGAATTTTGAGGCTCACAAAAGTAGTAAGACATTGATTTATGATAAAATTTTTCTTATAGCAAAGAAGCTGATTGCGACAATAAGCTCTCCGAAGTCGGCAGAACCCGAAAGTGTCAAAAACGAGCTCAAGCCAAAACGAGCTAAGAGAAAGCTGTATTCAACTGACATTTCTTACCCTCTAGATATCCCTGCTTCTTCGGTAAGTGATTGCAGGTTACTGTTCTGTCCATGGTAATGTATTTCTGTAATCTTGGCTTAAAATAAACTGTCAGGGGGACAGAACAAACTTGAAGGTCTGATCAAGTTGCAGAACAGGTTTGAAAGTACAGACTTGTTTTTTGCTTTGATCTAACTGTTCCTTTTTGTCTTTCCATCCTGCTGTTTTACTTACTCTTCTCCATTTTCTCACCTATCTTCTCTGTGTTTGACTGATAGCTTTTCCTGTATAGATGATGCAGCAATCACAGAGGTATCTCTTAAATCTGGATTCACAGATATCTTAGTTGTGGTATGTGGAGGATTACTTTTTCCTCTACTACAGCAATTGAGTCTTAATTGGTTTTTCTAGTAGTTGGTGTTCATTTAAGTGTAGCATAAAGGGAGATTAGAAATAGAGACCATTAAGGGAGCCATAGATTTGGAATAACATGACTGAAACACGAAAGATAAAGGTCTGGATGTGCAATTGACTTTGCAGGGTAAGTAAGCACCTAAGTTAATTTCCAATTCCATTTATGCCCAGCTGATATTTGGATTACTTTAGGATGTGGCTATATCCATGCTTTTCCAAAGTACAGTTTAGGTAGCCTTCTGGGTGTGCCTAAATTGTGTTCCCCTAAGCCAGCCCATAAAGAGTCTTTATAGGCCAGGGCTTTATGTATTGTTTCAGAAATCCAACTACATGGTTTTGACAGTAACTACAGTGCTAAGCATACTCTTGCTTTGTTGGCAGTACATTTATTTGTTCTGTTCAATCCTTTCTTCTCTTCACTATGGTGAGTGTTTGCCCATACTGAGATATCCTGTTGAATCTTCTGTACATTGTATGAATGGATGTGGCAGAAACCAAAATGCTTTTCATAGGAGGATGAAGAAAATGGCAGAAATGCAGAGCAAAAGAAGTTAAGAAGCTTGGAACTGAAAGGAAAAGTGGAAGATTGAATCATGGGAAAGTAGAGAAAGCTAAAGGAATTTAAGCTAAAAATATGTTTTCTGAACACTTCTTGTTTCACAAAATAAGTACTAGAGATCAGAAGTGAGAGCTGCTTTCAATCACATTTTTATTTGGATTTTGGTATTTGTTTTGGCAAAACCAAAATTTTGTATGTTCCCAGTATTTGTTGCTTATTATGATGCACTAAAACAGACTCTCTGTCTTGGAGACCTCTGAGTAAAAGATAGTAGACAAATTTCATTCTGATAATAGCTTCTGGGGAAAAAAACCACGTTGGTTACATGGGTCTAGAAGTGTATGTCATTTGTCTCTGAAGAAATGCTGAGTAACTCTTGAAATACCATCTTTTTCAGATATTTGTAGAACAAAAAGAGAAGGAAAGTGATCATCTAATCATCAAGCGACGGCTACGGTCAAAAACAGCTAAATAATCTTGTAAAAACATGTTTGTATTTCATAGTTAGGGCGTATTTTCTTTGTATTGTTTCAGCTGATTAGATGTAGGAAGTAACAGATACTTAGTCATGCTCCAAAGTGTGTATACAGATGTATGGAATTGTTCTGATTGCTTCCAGTTCTGACTTCATTAAATCTGAAATACTGTTCAAGAAAGTTTGTGTCTGAATCTTTTTTTTTCTTTTTTTTTTTAAGAATGGTATCTTTGGAAGTGTTCATAATTTATCCATTGGGCATTAAGAACTATGCCTGTGTGGAATATTTTAAGTTGCTTTTTTTCAGGTGGCCAGTATACCTACTATAACTTTGAGTGGGGGGAAAAAAAAAAAATGAGTACGTCAGAGCTTGTGTATCCTTACATTCTTTATGCATATATAGAATATAGTAAGGTTACAGCTTACGATCAGTGACTGAGTAAATACTTAAAACAATTTTGGTTTCATGAATGTAGCATTTACTGAAGTCACAGGCAGTGATGGTATTTCATAGGATCTCGCATTGTTTGAAGAACAATACTGATCATCTTTCAGAAAGAGCTGAAAGCTTTGACAATTACCTGTTCTTGACATGGATGAAGCAAGACAATCCCAGTAAGTGATCATTTACTCTAACTTTTTGCTCATGCAGCTTTCTTATTTTTATTTTCTTGAATTACTGCCAACTATACAACAATTTTTACTTGGGCTATTGGATTATTTTAGTTATTACTGCATTTTGGTCTTTCATCCATCGATGATTCTATAACATCTTTCTGTTCAAAGTGTTCCTTATCAATCTGTTTTGCGCATACATACTGTCTAGCACTGTAGAAAGAGTATCTTGTTTACAGGATTGCTTTTTGAGGTTTGGTATTGGCCTGACGACAAAAATTTTTCAGTTCTCTGTGAACATCCAGTCTGAGATTTCCCCCCCACCCCCCACCCCCCCCTGGTTTAGCAGGCATGGTGGTGATGGGTTGACGGTTGGTCTTGATGATCTTAGAGATCTTTTCCAACATTAATGATTCTATGATACTGGTTGATCAGTAACAATCAGCTGGTCTGTAGGCAGTGATAGTTTTGCTCATACAGCCAGATAAGTGCTACTGCTATTTTGATGGGACAGCACAACCTTACTGTCCTTCAGAAATTATTCTATGATTTAAATTATAAGTGGTTTTCTGTTTGCTTGTTTTGTTGGACTGCTGTACTGTCTTGTTTGACTCACACAAATAGGAGATCAAAATTGTTTTTCTTGAAAGAAAAAAAAAGTGATTTCAATTCCTGTTGCAATTTATCTTTAATAATAAATATGATACCTTTAAAAGTGCAAATCAATGTAAAAATTGTCAGTCGTTTCTTTAGTAGAAATGGTTTTCCTTTAGTTTTTGTGTGACTGTAGCTTAAATGTGGACAGCAATGCTGTGAGTTAGTTTAGTGGCAACAAACTCTGGTTCTCCAGTAGATTATCTGAGCGTGTCTCTTCATAAGGATAATGCATAGTTCAGTTCTGTAGATCCTGACTTGTAAGATCATATTCTCATACTAAGTTGCTTCTCTAGTTTCCCAACTGTAAAATGGAGTTGTACCCCTGTTCTCTTCCATATCTTGTCCTTAGCAAGGAAAGATGGATGTTTTGTTCTTTCTGATTGGAAAGTGGCAATGTGAGCTTGATTCACAAATCGTTCAGCTCTTCCATTTCTTCAGCTTTTTGTCTTCGTCTTCCGTCTGTGTGAGAGAGATCTTAGATTTCCTTTTCATTAGCTCATGCTTGGTATTGCCGTCTTCTTTTTTCGCTCTTTTCATTCTAATAGAAAAATGTAAAATCTAGGTGATGGTCAGATAATTCTAAATAAAAATAAATGCAATGTCACTTAATATTTCTTCACAGGTAGGATTTTATACTTTGAGACCATTTGTCCTTCCCTGTATCTTCTGTTTTCTGCTCTCTGTGGTTCAGATACCTGGACTGATCTCTTTCAGGGCTTCAGCAGTGAAGATCCTTACCTTATGTAGGTGCAAGTCGCTCATTTTACAGAAGTCTTATAGCTGGAGACAGTAAATATACGAGGTGAAGTCCTGTAACAGTCTTAAACAATGAGACAGTACTTGGAATATTTATTCTTTATCTTGCTCTTAACACTTTGTCTGTTTTTTCCATTTTTAGCAGATGTTCTCAGGCAACTGTTCATGTTGACCCCTAACTTGTTTCTTCCAAATAGCTTCAGTTAATTTTAAAATCCATCAGCATCTGCCCATTTTAGCTGGATTGTTCTGTCCATTGTGCATAACCTTGCACTTGCCTGCAATGAAATTCATATGCCATGGTGTTGCCTTGACTGGCAGTTTGAGTGCTTATCATTAAGTCATCAAATGGCCTTATAGCTCTCATTTAACTGAAAAAATTTACAAGGTGGTAAACGCAGGACTGAAAGGATGCTGAATTACTTGATTCTTGCCTGCATGATTTCTTTATGGATTCAAATGTGTGGAAAGCAATAGAAATATCTTCAGCCATTTGATGTCTCTGAAATTGCTAATTGATGCTGTTTGTTCTGTCTATCAAATATAAAATTTCATAGTTTCAAATAACAGACTTCTGATTTCGTGGGTAAATAATAAGTGACAAAGCATGTAATAATTTCTTTCAATTACTCTGGTAAATTGCAATTTAGTTATTTGTGCAACTAACTAAGAAGTGGAATCCCTCAATTTAGTCAAGTCACTGTTACACTCAGAAATGCTACTGTACTTCTAAGTTCTTGTATTTACTAAAATTTTATCAGTGTTGCTGAGCTATCTGGAGGCTATATGAAAACTTGTTTTTTCTGGAAGCCATTTGAATGGGTGTTTTCAAGATGATCTGAGCACTAGAGTAGAGATATATATATACAAGCACAAAATTTTTGGCTGTTGCATTCTAGCTTTCTGTCCCCAAGGTAGCCTTAGCAATTGCAAGAACCACACTGAATTAACTTCCTTCATAGGTGTAGGCTTGGTTGTCCAACTCTGTGATTACAGATTTTGAATACATACAGAAATAAAGCATGCTCCCTTTGTTTTGGTCAGGGATTGTGGTTTCTGTACTTCTTACAGTTCTTGGAGTTTGAACCTATATGGTGGTAGCCTAGAAAATGGGTCATACTTCGTATACTTCCTTGGTTTATGTCAGGATTATCAATTATTTCCTGAGCAGGAAGAACATGGGTGTCATATGAAGGGGGAAAAAAAAAATAAACCAAGAAAGCAGTTTTTTGATACTGTCACGTGAAGAGTTCACTTTCAGTTCTTTGGAAGTAATGGGAAATTTTTTTTTTTTTTTTTTTGGTCAAGACTGAGGCTAACTAGCTCAGTATTGTCCTTCTTTTTTTAGCTCTGGAGAACAAAGCAAAAAGCTGTTTTGGGACATCATTTCCCTTTTGCCTTCTGACTCTTCCTGATGAGTACTGTAGCTGATTAAAAGCTGAACATGAATATGCCTCCTCTTTATTTTATTCTTACCTTAGTGTAAGATTCTTCAGTTAGCTTGCAGAGCAAAGAAAATTGTTTTAGTCCATTAACAGAGGAGACGTCAATTCATTACCTAGCAAGAGCTAAGATAAACAATACTTAATGAAAATTTGGTGTATGTTTTGACATGGTGAAGACACCTGGTAGTACTTAAATTTCTGTTGTTCTCTTCAGAACATTACTGGCTGTAGGAAGGTTGTACCCCAACAATGTTGTGTGATGCTGTGTGTCATTGGCTGAAGAGGGGAATAAGAGCTGCTACACACTGAATTTGGTCTTGCAGCACTGATATCCTGAGAACTCAAATCCCACAACAGAAAGTTTCCTGGGGTAGTGACAGTCACTTCCATTTTTTTGCTTTTTTATTTTTCCCCAAATTTGAGTCAATCTAGTATCTGAAATAGCACAACCTACTTCAGTCTCAATCTCTTCTATACATTGAAAACTTCTGACACTTAAAATGAAGTTTCCTTTTCCCAAGAGAATAAGATCTTTTTAACTTTAATAACAGACTTCTAAGACGTGGCCTCACTTCTTTGGTGTCTTTTCCCACACAAGGGAGGAAATTATTCCATAGTATGAAACGGTTCTATTTCTAGTGTTAATGCTTGAATTCTGCAAAGTGCATTGTACAGCAACACCATTGTCTTTGAATAGTTCTTTTTGAGCATGTCACACTGTGAGGGATAATTCTTGGAAAATAGCCTATGCTATACTTGTGTCAAGCTGCACAAACTTTTCCAATGGTTAAGCTTCATCTTGAAAAGATTGTTCCTTGCTCAGCTTCAGCTCATTTGGAGTGAACACACTTTTTTCTTTGCCTTCCTCATGGCACTCAAATTACAGACATAAAGAAGGCTTCTAGAAAGAAAATGTGAGGACATTGCTACATGTAGGTCAAGCTTTTCTCTTTGGCAACAGGAAAAAAGGAGGAACAGTGCCACTCTATGATCAGACAGCTCATGTAGTGAAGGTAATGGTTTCTAGAGCTGAGAGTGAGAAAAGGGAGCAGAACATTTTTGGGGTGATTTTTCGGTAATAGGATAGCTTTCTGTAGATAAAACAAGTGCTTGAGCATTCTTGAAACTTGATTAGTGCTGTGAGAGAAAAAAAATAACAATAATAAACCATGCCTACCCAGGTTTCTGCAAAGCCAGTTACTGCGGGAGCCTCACTGCCCATGGCCAGATGCCCAGGCGCTGGTGCCAAGATTCTGCTTGAGGAGAGCTCGGGTCACCACCCTCAGAATCACAGCTGGGAGGAGTTGCAGGGGCACAGGAATGGGTTACTTAACTTTCAACTAACCAACTTTTCATCCCATTTAGCCAAGCGTTGTAAATTTCAGAACCAGATCTTGCTGGACTATATTCTCTTGGCAAACTCCTAGCCCTCCAGATCCTTTTTTTTTTTTTTTTTAAAAAAAATTTTTTTTTTTTCCCCTGCTGCGGTGACAGTACCCATGCACACAAGCGAGCAGTATGTAGCCC